CCATTTTCCTGGCTCCTGCCGGGGGTGGAACTGCAGGCGTATGTATCTCACTTTATGGGGTGGAGGGAGCCCCCAGGAGTTAAGAGGCGGGGCCACAGGCTTATTAGAGTCAGGGACAGTGCTGCCTTTGGGATTCCAGGTCCACACTGTGCTTTTCCTCCCACCCTTCTTCTACCCACCCCAGGTGGCAAGGGGTGCGGGGCCCCGCGTGCTCAGAGCCCAGCGCGTGCCTGCGCGCAGAGGCCTGTGCCTGTGCTTGGTGTGCATGGGTGCACCGGACAGTCTTTCCTTCTGCGTGCTGCCCCGCGGAGCCTTGCTGCCTGACGGCCCCTGAGAAACCAGAGGCTGTGAGCTGAGCCAACTTGTGCACCTGGGGGACAGGGCTGCTCTGCGACCCGGGGGCATGGTGGCCCGTCTGACCCATCTCGCCTCGCTCCGTCCCTTTCAGACTCAGTTTCTTCCGTCTCTTGGAGTCTCTTCGCTTCCCGATCTTCACGGGTTTTCAATTTCCTCTCCCAGTTCCTCGGACCCGGTCCCCAGGGCCGTCAGCTCCGCGTCCTTTTCTAGCCGCTATGACCTGTCCGCTGGAGTCGGAGAAAGGGGATGACGTTCAGGGGTGGCCCAGGAGGCGGCGGCCTGCGGGACGGTGGGGACTCCCGAACCGAGCGCAGAGGTTTTGTGAGCAGGCGGCGATAGCTAAGCCAGCTTCACCCTCTCCACCCAAACCCAACACACCTTCCCACCCTCAGGGCCGCTCCCCCGCCAGGACCAGGGGTGTAACCCCCTCTGCAGGGCTAGGCCACCCGCTGCGCCCGCCGCCAGGACCGCAGCGCCGGGGCTGCTGCTCCTCCGCACCCCGTCCCGCCCCGCTCGGGCCAGCGCCGGCGGGACGCGAGTCCGCTCCGGATCCGGGCCGCGTTTCCCCCACATCGCTGGGGTCTCCGCCCCTCCGAGTCGCCAGCCGGGGCCCAGCCGAGCGTCGCCGCGGGAGCCGCGCGCACCGCCGAACCCAAACCAATGGGCGCCGGCGCCCGCGGGCCGCACCGAGCTGCGGCGCAGACTCCACTTTCGCATTGGAACTCCCGAGTCTGGACCCTGGCGCTTCCCGCGCGTCACTCGGGCTCCGAAGTGACTCCTTCGCGGCCGTCCCGCTCCGCTTCTCAGCATCGGGGTTCCGGCTCCGGCTCCGGCTCCGGCTCCGGCTCCGGCTCCGGCTCCGGCTTCGGCTCCGGAGAGGTAGGGGGGCCGCGAGACTTGAGGGGGCTGGCGTTCTCCTCCACGGAGTGGGGGCCGTCGAGAGGCCGCCGTCCCCCTGCGCCCCCAGGGCCACGCCCCTCCCAGCCGCTGACCTGGATAACCCAGACCGCGACTGCACCCAGATACTCAAATGCGCTATCTACCCCATCAGCCCTCCTCCACCCCGTCGCCATTCCGTTCCCACCCGTCCCCAGGGTCTGCTGCTAGGGGGCCCCCTGCCAAGTTAGATAGCTTCCTTGTGATCTCTCTCCAGTCTGCTTTCCCCACCCCAACTCCTGAAAGGGGCCGAGGGACACGTCTCCCACGGCTGAGGCCCTCTGGGCACCCCCGTCCCCCACTTCTGGGCGCGTCTTCCTCACCCCCTGCCTCTGCCCCACTTCATCTTTCCTCCCCCGCCTCTTCTCCAGGTCTCTGTCCTCTTCCAGCCTCTTCTCTGGCCTTCTCCGTTCCCTGACCCCGCCCCCCACCACGCACCCGGGAGAAGGGGGTGTCACGATGCTTTCTATTTATAGGCCCCCTGGGGAGGGGGTGCTGTGCTAGGACTTTTTTGGCGTCAGCTGAGCCCTGAGTCATGAGGTGTCATGTCTGTGATTCGGTATCCATGCCTCCTCCCGCTCCCCTCTCCCATCCTCTCTCCACCGAATCTCCTGTCTGCCTTTGTCTCCTTTCTGCCTCCGTTCTAGTCCTTTTTGCGCTCCTCGCATCTTCGGGCGCTTGATGTAGCTGCCCTTTCTTTGTCTCCGCCTCTCTGCTCCCTGCTCCCTCTCCTGCCTCTTCCAGTTCCCCAAAGCTGGGACTTCTAGGGCATCAGTATTTCAGGTGGGGGGGGGGGGGGCGGTGTGGAAATGGGATGGGGGCGCTCCCAGCGTGCCCGGTGATTACTTCAATCATCTCCTTCTCCCCAGAGTGACCATTCATATTTATGAGATTGAAAGAACGTGGGGATACCAGGATGTGGGGATATGGGTGGCAAGGGAAATGCTACTCCTCCTGCAGGAGCTTGGTCCAAGAGATGCCTGAACTACATTTCCCACAGTGCCCTGGAGGCACAGGGCTGCCTCTGCCTAGACACTTTCTGGGAGTTAAAGTTCAAGGAGTGGGTTGGAGGGTATCTTACTGGAGGGTGGGAAGTGATCGGAAAGTGGAGCAAGGATTGTGGAGCTGGCCGGCAGCTTTGGCTTGGCCTGGAACCCCTCACCTATTTTTTCCCAGCACCCACCTCCTCCAAGGTTTAAGGACCTTGGAATCTTTGTGTCTCCAAAAAAGGGAATAGTAATAGAGGAGTGCCTTGAAAGAAAAGATGGGTGATGAATTGGCAGGTCTTTCTTTCTTCCTTGTGACCCTGGGAACTACCCCACCCCTTCCCCTTACAAACAACCTAGTCGGAGATGTAGAGACACCATTGGAAATAGTCTCATCTTGAAAGCAGCGGAGGGAAAGAAAAGCCTAAAGCCTGAGATCTATTGGATGGGTTCCAGTTTACAGGCTGCTCACATTCTGGCCCCCTCAGGAGCGGGGGTGGGGGTGGGGGGTGTGGGGAATTGCTGATGTTACTCCTCACCTACCAGCTTGCATTTTCCAGGGCCCCATGGACAGCTGGTGAGGTTGCCTGTGATGCAGATGAGAGCCACAGGTTAACCTGCACAAGTTAACCATCATCCCCAGAGCCTGATGCAAGGAGTCTGATGCTTGTTGTTGGCCTAGAAATTGCTGACAGTGGGGGATGGGGGGGTGGGGGGGGGGAGGGAAGCAGTGGGGTTCCTCCCACAATCCCATCTCTGATACTGAGTCAGCTCAGCCCTTAGCATTTGGGAACTCTGATTCCAGTCAAGGACCCAGTGATTCCTATCTTTGCTCTTCAGACTGGGTTTGGAGATCCAGATGCACACACACACACACACACACACACAGATTAAAAGGTTATGTGTGTGTTTTTTCCTGGCTCCCTCACTGGCCTCGATTTCCTCAATGTGAAAGGAATGGGTTGAACTTGGTGGTCGCTAATGACCCTAGCTGGGGCGCTAAGAGCCTCTGAGCCTGTGCCTCTGATCCTCTGAGCCTGTGCCTCTGAACTGTCTCACCTGGAAGAGCCTTAGGTATCAGCATCAGATTGAAAAGAAAGAGGGAGATGGTGGTCATGTTTTGAATCTTGTTTGTGTAGCAAGCACTCTGTGTCACATAAGTTCTGTTTATGCTATGGAAGCTAAAATCACCCCCAAACCACTCCTTGGTGCCTCTCCCAAGCCTGGGTAATGTCGTTGTTGTTGTTTTAAATCCAACCAAGCCACTGTCACCCTCCACAAAGCAGTTGTCCCCTGAGATGTTGGTTAATGAGATACAGGTTGTGGGGGTGTGGGGGGGGAGGAGGGGATTGTAATTGGCTGGAAAGAGAGAGGAGGGGGATTTGATCAGTCTGGAGGAAGGAGATCTGGAAATAGTCCTCAGGACATGGGGAGGGCCTCTCTTTTTGGCCCTGTCTCTAGGCAGGGAAAAGAGAAAAGCCAGAGGCCAAACAGATGCCAGATCCACAGGGGACTGACCCAAAAAGGAGACTTTGAGGAATGGAAAGGCCAGGAAAAATCCTGTGTAGGAGATGGCGCAGAGATTACAGGAACAAATTTTAAAAGGAGGAAAAGGGAGGAGAGAGAAGAGAAGGGATTCCACCTTTGGCGGGAAGGAAAATGAGGAAGGGACATGGGGGATCTTGGTGGACATTGGGTTTGCTGGAGCCACAACAGAACCCTTTTCAAAATGATCATCTCATACTGGAGTGGAGCCAAGTCTCCGAAGGAGGGAATATATTCAAGGAAGAAGGAAAAGGTGGTTTTGCTGAGCCTGGAAGGAATGGCTTGAAATTTTCTAATGGAGCTCTCCATGTGCCCACTCCCTTGGTTTATGTTTGAATGTGGGTGTTGGATGTGGAGGGAACTGGGGCAGCAATGTGTATGTGTGTGTATGTGTGTGTGTGTGTGTGTGTGTGTGTGTGTGTGTGTGTGTGACTGGGGTCTACATCGCCCTCCCTTTGCCCTGGAATGATAAGTGGCAATGGTAGAAAAGGTAGTGGGAGCTGAATCCTCCACTTTCCCTGGAAACTGTCCTGGAGAGGGAGTGGAGATTATGGGAATTCTTTTTCTCATGTTGCTCTTATAGAGAGGTGGTAGGGCACTTGAGGAGTGTCCCTCCATTATTTAAAATATATTTTATTGATTTTTTACAGAGAGGAAGGGAGAGGGATAGAGAGTTAGAAACATCGATGAGAGAGAAACATTGATCAGCTGCCTCCTGTACACCCCCTACTGGGGATGTGCCCGCAACCAAGGTACATGCCCTTGACTGGAATCGAACCTGGGACCTTTGAGTCCGCAGGCCGACGCTCTATCCACTGAGCCAAACCAGTTAGGGCCCTCCATTATTTATACCCTCCTTCTTTCCTTTGAGTCCTGGGGCTGACTAGAGATGGAGGGGGTCAGGGGCTAGTCTCTAGGGAACTCACAGGGTCCCGAGTTTGTGAGTGTTAAGACACATCCTGGTTGGGTAGAGCAGGATAGGATTAAGAGTTCTTGGAGTTGGTGTGAGGGGGGAACTGGAGGCCTGGAGGCCCTCTATTCTCAGGAAGGTCTGTGTGGAGAGAGGAAGAGAAGCAGTGTTTGTGTAGAAAGGGGTTGTGGGGACTGCGTAGAGGAGGCCAAATGTGGAAACAGCAGACTCTGACCCGAATGCTGGGTTCTCTCTTCTGCAGGTGAATGAAGCTGGAAGCTGACTGCAGTGTAGCCACCTCAGAGGTCCCTAAGCCTGAAAATGAGGCTGAGCCAGATGCGAAGCTAGTCTCAGAACACCTGCCACAGGAGGCCAGGACGAAGTCCAAGTCTGGGTTAGGGATGGAGGCTGAGAAGGAGCCTCTGGGGGCCAAGTTCTTGGGGCCAAGCCCAGGCCAGGATCTGGGCTCGAGACTGAGACTGAGCAGTTGGACCTCGTGATGGCCACAGAACCGGAGTTTGAGGAGGTGCTGGCCATCTCAGGAGGCATCTACGGTGACCTTGACTATCTTCCCAGCTGCTACCACATCTGGCTCCAGGATCCCAACCTCATGGTGGTGCTGGCCAAGCATACCAGAGAAGTGGTGAGAACCGAGCAGTGCCTAGGTGAAAAGGGGTGAAGCCATGTTTGGGTGTCTGAATCTTAGGAAGGAGAGGAAGCGAGCCCCTCTCCCTCAGCCCTTGTCAGATTGCTGAGGATATCAAGTAGGCTTTGCAATCAAAGAGTAGGGTGTTCAGATCCAGGGGCCTAGCCAGTGAGGGTCGGGTAGGGGACACGTAGAACACAAGAATAGTGGAGGAGCCCAGCTGGCTCAGTGGTTGAGCATTGACCTATGAACCAGGAGGTCACAGTTCGATTCCATGGTCAGGGCACATGCCCAGGTTGCAGGCTCAATCCCCAATGTGGGGCATGCAGGAGGTGGCCGATCAATGATTCTCTCATCATTGATGTTTCTATCTCTCTCCCTCTCCTTCCTCTCTGAAATTAATAAAATATATATATTTTTAAAAAGAATAGTAGAGGGACTGGTGAGAGCTTTGGTATTTGAGGATTTGTTTGAGGAGTTTCTGGGGACAGGAGCACTAAAAGAGGGGAGCTAGTAGGGTGGAGGTAGGCTGGGGATGGGAGCAGGTAGAGTGGGGCCAGGAGCCCTAAGTAGACTGACTTCTCACACAAAGAAGCCTGGTTGCAGGAGTGAGCAGAAGCAGTTCAGAGATGGGCTCCGGGAGCAGCCAATAGGAAAGGGGCGTGGTAGGTAACCGGGGCGTGGCAATCTCCTGGGGCTAGAGCCAGTGAAAGGGGGCGTGGCGAGTGGTCAGGGACCCCTTTGCCCTCTGGGCTTCTGAATCTCTAGAGGTGGAAGCGGCCGGGCCAATGAGCAATGAGCGTTACTGCCAGGGCTGGAATCTGAGACCCAAGTACTGAGGAGAGCTCCCTGGACAGGTACCAGGTCTGGCCTGGCGCCCAGAGTAATGATGAAGGAGCGCTCAGTGTGTGGGAAGAGGCGAGCCCTCTGAGCCCAAGTGGCTGAGGCAGGGAACGGGCCCCCTAACGGCCTGGGGAGTCGGTGCACTTGATCGATGCGAAGAAGACCGCGCTGGTGGAGGGGCTGCGCCTGGCGCCCTGGGAGCGCGGTAAGGGCTGGCCTGCCTGCTGCAGCGCTTCTGCTCACAGCTGGTCAGGCGGCAGCACTCAGGGGTCAAGGCGGCACAGCCTTCCAGGGACGACCAGCGGGGCTCCCGGGAGCTGAGGAAATACCGCCTAAACACCAAGCAGGTGAGAAGCACAAAGAGGCTGGGTGTCTTCCCCCAGGCTCAGCCAGTCACCCGTTTTCTGTCTCTGCCGGTTCTACCGAGTGCGAGCCCTGCCCTGGGGCTCCCAGTCTTTACCTAAGCCCTTTTGCCAAGGGGAACTGAAACAGCTCCCGACTCCCAGCTGCCAACCCACCGAAGAGCTCGGGAGCCTAGACTTTGGTGACCCTGCCTCCCATGCATCCACCCTGTCTCCCTTCAGGAACCCAAACAGCTGAGCCTTTATCTTACCCCCTCCGCTTCCCCCATCCTACCAGCTGATCTGCTGCCTCACTTCCACCTCTCTCAGAGACTCAGGGGCCCACACCCCCAGTTCCCTGGACACTCCACACTGACTTCACCTCTCCTATTCAGAGGTTTTGCCCCTGGTTCGTCCTTGCTACCCTCGGAGACCCAGGCTTTCACATATTCCACTTCACCACATGATATGTGCCCCATGTGGGGCTCACGCGGGAGCCCGTGGGTGTGAATATGGGAGTGAAGATGCAGAGAGGTCGAGGCCAGTCCTCCCACCGCCAGCCCCTGTGCTCACTTGTGCCCCCCACAGGGCATCACTTTGCTCCAATTCAGCACATCCGTGCTTCTGGCAGGCAGGGCTGCGGGCCTCTGGCACTTTTTCACTGCTGCCCACCCAGGCCCTGTCAAAAGCAGGTGGCGATGTGGCAAGCCTTGCGAGCGTCAACGTCCTGTGCCAGCTCTTCCTGGCGCCCCAGTTGTGGTCGCAGCTGGCTTATTTCTGCCAAGTTGGCTTGGGGCTTGAGCTGGTCAAAGGTTACACGAACCAGTACTTGCTTGGAGGCCACATTTGAAGTCCCTACTATTTGAGAAGATGCCGCCCCCTTTCCCAGATCCCCAGAAAGCCCTGACCTCATTTGCAAGCTCCATCCCCTCCCCTGCCCCCTATCCTTTCCCACTGCTGGTCCCTCTTTCCTTCCCCCCTTACCTCTCCATTGCCCACTGCCAGATCAGAGCCACCCAGTTCGGTGGAGCCCCTTGCGCTGCCAGTGTCCACCCTTTCCCCTTCCTGGGCAAAGAACCTGTTCCGCCCTAGGCTTCGGAGATTTTTCCTGTCCTTCCTGGCTTCTCCCTTCCGACAGTACCTCTCCAGGAGCGCAGCTGCCTCAAGCCCTCAGAGCTCGCCCGTTCTCCCCTCACTGCCCTGTGCCTTTAGATCAGGGTCCTCTCCCTTTCCTCTGTACCCCCACCGTCCTCCTCCCTGGACCTCCCAGACACTTAGCTCCTTTTCCCCATTATGTCTTTATCACCCACCCTGTATGCAATATGGAAAGAGACCAGTAAATGAAGTAGATTTATAATGCTCCCCCTGTTTTGGACCCCTGTTTGCCCTCTGGTGATGCACCTCTTGGAGCTGGCACCTCTGACTGGAGTTTCCTCCAATTTTGCACTCTGTTGATATTTCACAGGCCCCCTCCTAATGCCCACAACCAGTGGCAGAACCAGGGGGTTCAGGCTGGAGAACTTGGTGTAGGGGAGGGCAGGCCCCTCCGCCAGTGTGAGGCCGTCTTCTGATTCTAACTAGGCTGCCTCCTAGTGAGACTGGAACCCCCACCTCCAGGTATTTCTGGACACTCCTCCCTTTCTCTCATTCCTTTATGCTTTTTTGGACTTAGACAGTCCTTCTATTTAAATGCAAGCAGCAACAGCTGTGTTTGCACAGCGCTGTCTTCTACGCTGCATCCTCACATCTACTGTAGAGGGAGGAAACAGACCCAGAAAGATCCAAGTGACTTCCCAGTCACTCACAGTAGCTGGGAGCCGCCTCGCAGGGACTAGAAGCCAAGTGTCCCAGGCCCAAAGCCTCATTCTTTGATGGTGATAGCTTGAAACTACTTGTTGGACAATGAACAGCTGCTAAGGACACATGGACAGTGAGCACAGGGTTCACTGGGATGGGATCCAAGACATGGGCGCCAGGAGGTGGGCGGTGGGCAAAGAGGAGCACCGCGCTTCACACTGTCCCCGTTCTGGCTCTGCCATGCCCTCCTCTGCCTCCTGTGCCCGACCTGCTGCTACTCTCCCTGTCGCTTCACCCAAGGCTATGTTGCAATAAAAACGATTTGTTAGTCCACCCTGTGTTTGTTTTACTTCTCAGTGTGTGGGGGGGGGGGAGGGGGGGAGAGGGAATGACACATGACGTCCATTATCTTCCCCCTTCCCCTGTGTTAGGATCTTAGCCCTGTGGCCATGGGCTAATGACTTCCCCGAGGGGAGCTAGACCTTGCCTGCCCCCACCCCAACCAAGAAGCAGAAAGGTGAGCAGTGGCGTGGGGCCCTGACTAGACCCGGCTCCTGCACCTGGCAGTAGGCTGCTCTCCAAATTCTATGGGCTCTTCCCCCAAGTTCCCCTTGGCATCCAGGATCAGCCTCCCTCAGCCCTGCGATCCAGGCGTCTAACTCCCAGCTCTCCACTCTTTCGCTCGCTTTCTCCATTCCTGGGTGGGCACCAAGCAGAAGGTGGAGCCGCCGCTTCCCCTGGGAGCCGACCTCGAGGTGGTGATGACTGCAATCCCAAAAAGTAACACGCGGGGGCGCCAGGACGTGTGCGGACGCGGGCGAGGCAGCGCAAGGTGGTTTCCGTCCGTGTGAGTGTGTCCATGGGCGTCTTTGTGTGTCTGCGTTTCTGTACATGTGTGTACGAGTAAGAGGGTGTCTGGGTGAGATGTGTTCGGGACATCGTGGCTGGTGTACCCCAGAATCAGGTACTCCAAGTGTCTTTGATGAGGACGATGCTTGATATGTTGCTATGTGCTGTGGATGGGGAGGCAGGGAACTGTGTGTGTCGTCGTCCTCGTGTGTGCAAGGCGTAGCCTCCGAGTCCCTGATCCGCGTCTTGGGTTTTTGAAGTCACATACCTTCAGAGTTTTTACCCCCTTCCACCATCCTGTGTAAGAAGAATGAAGGCTCTCAACGCGAATCTCCATTACCCTGTCACATCTTCAGCATGGGTCTTCTAGGCTAGGTGTGACATTGTGCTTGTGTAAATGGGTGTGTCTCAGAATGTCAATGTAACTCTGAATGATAGTGGTGTGTGTGTGTGTGACAGGTGGGTGTTGGAGGAGGCTGACTCAGGATTATGGAAGCAAACAATTTCCTTTTTCTTGTTAGTTTGTGGATGTCACCTTTCTTCATGGCATGTATGTTTTGCTTTCTCAGTCTCTCCAGTAGTTGTCTCTCTTTGTGTCTCTCCTCATCTCTGTCTCCTTCTCTCTCTCCCTGTCTTGGTGACTCATCTCTGCAGCTTTGCCCTCCCCCGGCTTCCTGGGTCTCCCTTCCCCCACTCAGGAGTGGGTGGGAGTATGAGGGAATGGGACGGGGGACTGAAAATTAGGGTGAGCAACCCCTTCCTATTATTTATAATTCCCAGACCTGTCAGTGGCCCCCAGCCCTCTCCCAGCCCCGTTCCCAGGACTCCCCACCCTACTCAACTGGAGTGGCAGATAGGGCAATAATGCGTTCTGATGGGGCCGTTTTCAGGGGGAGGGGGTGCCTCAGCAGCTTCTTTCCGTTCAAAGTGGAGACCCCTGCCCCTCTCATAAAGTTCCTCCGCCCTGCCTCCCCCCGCCCCCATCGCTGACGCAATGAAAGCCTGCAGAGGTGAGTCACCGGTTGGGGGAAAGGAAGAAAAGGAGGGGGACCTGGAGGTATGGGGGGAGGGGCATAGGAGGAAAGGGGAAGGGGCCAGCCCTTGTTCTTTTTCTCTCCCAAACTTTCTCAGGGAAAAGATCCAATGCTCCCCTCTGCTGGTTTTCCAAATCTTTAGCTTGAATCACTACTCTGTTGGACCCCATCTTCTCTTACCCTACTGGAGAGTGAGCGATTCAGAAACAAAGACAAAGAGAGATGCATTTGTACAAATAACTCAGCAAACACCAGGCATCCCCTCCAGACCCCCATCTCAGCTTTGCCTTTCCCAGCTCTCTCTCTATTTCTCTTCCTTTCCTGACACCTCCCTCTCTCCCGGATCCCAGGAACCTGTCCCCAATCCAGCTTCTTTCTCAGAAACCCCTAAAGGCAGCAAGGTATGAAGAACGCAGTGCATCTTCGAGAGGTAGAGTGTGCATGAATAAACTGGCCCAGGTAGGGAACTGGAAAGGAGAGAGGCAGAAACAGACCCAGATAAGAGGGATCCAGATCCAGATTGTGGAATCACCAAGCCTATTGCCATTGGTGCCTGGGGCTCCCTCCTTCTTGCCACCTCCCTCACCCCAAGATGGCTGAGACTCTTGGGATGTTAATTTCTGAGACGTTCTCCTGGGCTAGAGTGGAGAAAGGGAGGCATGGGGAGTTGGGGAAGAATGGAGGAACATGCTGAAAACAAGGGGCAAGGACCCGCACTTGCGGGCTGCAGATGAGTGGCTTGGATTCTGAGGCTTTATGGCATAGAAATCTAGAGAAAAGGTGAATGTGGGGAAGGGGCAGGAAAGAGCACATAGAAGTCCACGTAACCTCCAACATATACCAACAGACATGGAAGGACCCAGAGAATGCAAAAGACACACACACACACACACACACACACACACACACACACACACACACATTTTTGACGCACCAACCCAGGCACACTTTCCAGACCCAGCAGATGCCCAGACTCAAGACTCTTAACTACACGGGCATACTGGCACTCAGGAGGGATCAGAATCCACACCCATTCACACACAGATACCTGGAAACAGGCAAAAATACAACCACACACACTGGAAAAGACTACATATTTAAATCAGAACACGACCACTCTTGCCCCCCCCCATCCCTTTCTTTTTCTTTCCTCCCGTATATTTCACTAATCTCTGTACACATATACACACATGTACATACATACATAGGTGCATGTCCACAAACATGAGCCCACAGTAACACAGTTTCTCTAGGTGTCTATCTCCCCTCACACTTAGTCCCTTAGCTCCATCAGCCTCGCAGTCTCCTCCATGGCTCCCCCGCTTTGCCTGGCTCTTGGATGGCTTCCCCTCCCCCTCTCCAGATGTCTGAACCATCTCTCTCTGATTCATCCTCCTCGGGAAGGTAACGTGACCCCCTCCTCATTCCAATGCTCTCAGTAACCACACGGGGAAAAGAGGGAGATGGGGAGGGAAAGGAAAAATGAGGGGGGCCACAAGGGCAGCAGGAGATCCTAGATTTGTTGTGTGGGGGGGGGGCGGGGGGGTGAAGTACTGCTGTGGGGCCTGTTACCCCCTCCTCTCCCTTCTTTCCTTGGCATCTCCGCAGTCACCTTGGCTTTCAGTATCTTCCTTTTGCCTGTTCCCTCTACCTTTTCCAGATTCCCTCCTTCCTTCTTCCCTCTCCTGCTGTCTTCTCTCTTTCCTCTCTCTCCTCCTCCCCACCTCTTTCCTCGCAGAGCTGATGGGCTTTCTTCTGGGAAAGTCGAGCCACTGATGGAACCGAGAAGCCACTGTTGGCTATAGAGGGAAAACACGTGAGTGATTGTGTGTGTGTGCGTGAGAGAGAGAGAGAGAGAGAGAGAGAGAGAGAGAGAGAGAGGAGAGAGAAGAAGAAGAAGAAGAAGAAGAAGGAGGAGGAGGAGGAGGAGGAGGAGGAGGAGAAGGAGGAGGAGGAGGAGGAGGAGGAGGAGGATTAGTGCTAGGAAGAGATGAGGAGGGGGCTGAGGACTGGCTCTGACAATCTGAGCCCTGTGTGTGCCCATGGGTACCCCTATGGCTGCAGTTCTTGTGTGTCTGGTGTGTCATTGTAACTCCCCCCTTTCACTGCCCACGCCTCCGCACAGCTCTCTGCCTGCACTGAAGCCCCCCTCCCTCCCCTTCATTCCTGCACTGGCGGCTCCCCTTGGCTCACTCCTCTTTCCCCCGCCCCCTCCCCATTTCCGTCCCCCCTCCACCCCCGCCCACGGCTGGTCTCCCTTCACTGGACCCGGCTTGCTGATAGATTCTCTTTGCGCAATCTGTGCGTCATCGCCCCCCACCCCCCGGAACCTCTAGCAGTCCATGCCCCCAGCCCCAACCCCTCAGGCCGGAGATATGGTCGAGGGGTCTGGTTGCAGTAAGGGGCGTTCTCTGACGTTGCATGCCCACCCCCACCTCCCGCATCGTGTTTCAACCTTCCCTTTAAGCAATGGAGAGAGCTGGAGTTGAGCCACCGCCCCCCACCTGCGCAACCCCCTCCCCACCTGGTTTGCTCTTGCCCTCCAAACGTCCTTTTGGGGAGGGGGGGAAGGAGCAGGAGAAAAAGAAACTGAAGGGGGATGGGGAGTGGTGGGCTGAAAGGGGGCACGGCGGAGGCACCAACAGACGCTACAGAGTCAACTGGACAGACACACCTTTTTCTTCAGACACGCACCGACAATGTACAGACACGACAGAGGCACACACATCCTCAGTCTTTTCCTTCTCTTCCAACTTGGACCCTTGTCGGTGGGATTACCAAAACCGCAAGATCCACCCATCCGCCCCGGCCCAGGGCCCGCACCCCGCACCGCCGATCCGCGGACAGCGCCCGCAGGCGCGCAGGTCTCTTTTCTCAGGTTCACGCCGTCCTTGGGCGTGTTCCCCATGGACCCTGAGATCGGAGGATGAGGAGACTGCCCCTACCTCCCCCGCTTTGGATTCCTTATTCTCCCTCTCCCCAGCATGGATTTCTTACTGGTGCCCTGTCAGACCTGGGAGTGCCCCATCCGTTTCGCGATGCGGGCTCCCGCCGCTGCAAATTGTTGGATAAAACCCACCCTCCTGTCTTGCAGTGTCTCTGCATCCACCTTTCCATTCATTCATTCATTCATCCTTTTCTCCTTGTCCCTCCTTCATTCATTCATAGCCCCCAACCCCGCCCGCCTCGACATTTCATTCATTCATTCATTCATTCATTCTTTTCCCCGGTGCTCCACTAGCGCACGCCCCTCCAGCCGAGGACCCCAGTGCGCAGTCGCAGGCCGGGAGAACACCGCATCCTCCAATCATTGGGCATCCTCCCGCCTTTAGGCGCCCGCCCGCTTCCCCATGAATGAACATTGACGTCAATGGGGCGGGGCAATCCCACGTGACACTGCGCGCTCCCGTTTATAAGGCGGCAGCGGCGCGGGCGCTGTCCAGCGTGCTGAAGCCGGAGCGAGCGAGCAGCCCGGACCCAGCTGAGCCCAGCCCACTGGACGCCAGACCTCGACCATCGGTCCTATCCTAGCCACCTCTCGGAGCCGAGGCGGAAGCGTTCCGACCTTCCCTGTCCCCACCCCGCCTCGACCCTCCTCTCCACCTCCTGCGTCGTGACACCAGCTGGTAAATACTCCGCTGTCTGTCCCTCAACCCCTGGCAACGGTGGGTGTGAGGGAGGGTTCTCTCCTAGATGGGGGTGTTGAAAACGCATCGGGGAGCCCCCCGTAAGGGTCTCTGGTAAGTGGGGAGTCGCCGCTTTTTTCTTGCTGCTGAAGTCGCCCACGCACCATCCAGAGTGTCCTGTGGGGAGGGAGCAGAGATTTCCCCCTTATCCTCACTGCTTAGTACGTGGGCGCGGGCACCGAGATGGCTCAGAGAAGGGGGCGAGGAGGCACCGTGGGTGCGAGGGTTATGGGCATTTTCCCATTTACACGACTTCAGAGATCGGCACATCTTTCTTCTTTGCGCCTAAAGGTCCCTCTTCTGGGAAAGGTTAGGGGAAACCCTGATTAAAGGTGGGGGAAAGGAATGTAGAACCAGAGATCAGAAAATTCTTAAAGAAATCCTTTCTTTCTTTCCACCCCTCCTATTTTTCAGTCTCCGACAGTCCCCTGGTCATGAAATCGCTCAGGTTGCCAGTTTCCGCCCTCTTCTGCTTCCTTCTACTGATTAAGGGGCTGGGAGGAGCGCCCCCCGGGCGCCTTGAGGCACAGTCACCTCCCCTCAGCTCTGAGCATAAAGAATCCGTAGCTGGGGATGCAGTGCCCGGGCTGAAGGATGATCGCACCCCAGAGGTCCGAGCCGCTCGAAATTCAGAGCCGCAGGACGAGGGAGACCTTTTCCAGGGTGTGGATCCCCGGGCGCTGGCCGCGGTGCTGTTACAGGCACTTGACCGCCCGGCCTCGCCCCCGGCGCCAGGCGGCTCCCAACTGAAGCCAGCGGAAGAAGCAGCAGAAGCTCTGTTAACTGAGACGGTGAGAAGCCAGACCCACAGCCTCCCAGCGCCAGAGACTCATGCGCCCGCGGCCCCGCCTCGCCCTCAGACTCAGGAGAACGGTCCCGAGGCGAGCGACCCCTCCGAGGAGCTTGAGGCGCTGGCTGCCCTGCTCCAGGAACTGAGAGATTTCAGTCCGAGCAGCGCCAAGCGCCAGCAGGAGACCGCAGCCGCAGAGACGGAAACTCGCACGCACACGCTGACCCGAGTCAACCTGGAGAGCCCCGGGCCCGAGCGCGTGTGGCGCGCTTCCTGGGGAGAGTTCCAGGCGCGTGTCCCGGAGCGCGCGCCCCTGCCACCCCCGGCTCCCCAGCAATTCCAGGTTCAGATGCCCGAGAGCCGCCCCCTTCCCGAAGCCCACCAGTTCGGGGAAAAAGTGCCTTCCCCCAAAACACACCTAGGCGACGCATTGGCACCCCTGTCCAAGGCGTACCAAAGCCTGGGCACCCCCTTCCCCAAGGCGCGCCGGCCGGAGAGCTCACTCCTGAGCGGCTCCGAGGCGGGGGAGCGCCTTCTACAGCAAGGGCTGGCTCAGGTAGAGGCAGGGAGGCGGCAGGCGGAGGCCACCCGGCAGGCCGCGGCGCAAGAAGAGCGGCTGGCGGACCTGGCTTCGGACCTGCTACTCCAGTATTTGCTACAGGGTGGGGCCCGGCAACGCAGCCTGGGGGGTCGGGGGCTGCAGCCGGAGAAGGAGCGAGAGAGCGAGAGGGAGGAGGAGGAGGTGGAGCAGGAGAGACGCGGCGGTGAGAGGGTGGGGGAAGAGGACGAGGAGGCGGCGGAGGCGGAGGCGGAGGCGGAGGAGGCGGAGAGGGCGCGGCAGAACGCGTTACTGTTCGCCGAGGAGGAGGAGGACGGGGAAGCCGCCGCCGAGGACAAGCGGTCCCAGGAGGAGATGCCTGGCCACCGTCGGCAGGACGCCGAGCGGGCCGAGGTGGGCGGAGAGGAGGAAGACGACGACGAAGAGATGGACCCACAGACCATCGATAGCCTCATTGAGCTGTCCACCAAACTCCACCTGCCAGCGGATGACGTGGTCAGCATCATCGAGGAGGTGGAGGAGAAGCGGAAGCGGAAGAAGAACGCCCCTCCCGAGCCTGTGCCTCCCCCACGGGCTGCCCCCGTGCCCACCCACGTCCGCTCCCCGCAGCCCCCGCCCCTCGCCCCCGTCCCCGCCCCTGCTGGAGACCAGCTGCGGGATTGGAACGAGGTGCTCCCGCCTTGGGATCGGGAGGAGGACGAGGTATTTCCCCCGGGGCCCTACCACCCTTTTCCCAACTACATCCGGCCGCGGACGCTGCAGCCTCCTGCTGCCTCGCGCCGCCGCCACTACCACCACGCCCTGCAGCCTTCGCGCCACTATCCCGGCGGGGAGGCCCAGGCACTGCGCGCGCAGGCGGAGGCAGAGGCGGAGGAGCGCCGGCTGCAGGAGCAGGAGGAGCTGGAGAATTACATCGAGCACGTGCTGCTCCAACGCCCGTGACCGGTCTCGCCTCCGTGCGCCACCTCAGCGCGTGGTCACCCCCGCCCCCCTCCGTGTCGCTCCTGTCCCCTCCTGGGTATTTGCATGCGTCCCCGCCCCGCCCTCGGCCCCCGCCCCGCCTCGCCCCCGGGCAGCGCGGAGGACCTGTCACACCTCTTCCTGGGTCCAAAGCCCGAACTCCCCAAACTCGCTCACGGCCGTCCCAGGGCCAGCGCAGGCGAGCGGATGGTTTGTGCGAGCTCCCTCCCGCTGCTCCCACCTAGTTGCCCAGTTCCATTTGTGTCTGTCTCCTGCCCTTGGGGCCTCCCACAAGCCTCTCCAAATCGCTGTGAATTTACCTTCTTTCCCTTCTCTCTTGTAAATACCCCTCACGGAGGAAATAGTTTTGCTAAGAAATAAAAGTGACTATTTTATTAGGACTTTGTTCTGGGTTATTCACCCGTCCCCTTGGGCCTGTGCGGTCCTTCCCAAGGGGCGGTGAGGGAAACGCCAGCCACAACACCTATCTCTTCCAGCTTAAAAGGGGGGGTTGAATGGCACCAACCCGTTTAAAACTGTATTTGGGGGTAGAATTGGCTCACATCCATTTGGAAACCCTAAATGGCGGTTAAAGTCATGGGTTCCCAGGGCCTGGCAGAGAAATGCAAAGTAGATAAGGAGCCACAGCTCTGGGCTCTTCCTGTGACTCCGAGGGGCCACACAGGCAGTACTGGTGGCTCCCCACAGACCCTGTTCCAAATCAGACACACCTCCCTTAACTGCTCCCTAAATTCCCTGGCCCTGCATACTTCACAATAAATATGGGGACAGGGGACGGTTAGCAGCCAAAGAAACATTCTGGTTTTAGCCACTTCTCAACCCTTTTCTAAGCATGGGAGGTAGAATATACCCTTGAACTAGGGAGTCTCCTTCCTAAATAAAACGAAACCGGGCAAATGAAGTCTCCCACAAAGAAATCTTAGAGGAGTGAAACCAGGTCCCAGGAAGTTTCTCCTCTGGTTGCAGAGGCATTGAACTAGCAAATATATTTTTGGTAGGGGGTGTCAGATAAAATACAGGACACTCAGTTAAATTTGCATTTCAGATAAGCAATGGATACATTTGCATAGGATACACTTAACCTTACAAATTATTCATTGTCCTGGCCAGTGTTACTCAGTGGTTGGACCATCAATTGTGCACCAAAGGGTCTCAGGTTCAATCCCGAGTTGGGGAGGCAACCAATCAATGTGAGACACATCAATGATTCTTCCCCTCCCTCTCTCTCATTCTCTCTAAAAATCAATGGGAAGATATTCTCTGGTGGGGATTAACAACAACAAAAATTATTCGTTATCATACAAATTGAACTGTGTGTTTTATTTTATTTTTTATTTCTGGCTCTAATCTGGCAACCCCTTTCTGGGGAAGAGTCAAGTGCAGCGTTCCCTTCCCCTCCCAACTGATCCCAGCAGCCCTATCTTCTTTCACAGAGCCTCAGGCAGGCGAAGTCCAGAAATGCTTTTCCTTTTATTTCAGAGGAAAGGAAATAAAGTCAGACACTTGCCCACCCCACCACCCCCTTAGTTTCTGCCTCACCCCGAATATGGAGTGAAGGAGAGATAGGGCCCAGTCTCCTATGAAGCCTGCCCTTCCCCCAACCCTCCCTCCCTCAAAGTGGCAAGGTTAGAAAAAAATGAACTATGCTGTTCCTCCCACAGCACTGGACAGAGGCCCTACTGCAGCCAAGAAGGAAGGGAGGGTGCAGATGAGGGGAAAGGATGACCTAGTCACTACACAGATGCCCCCTTCCCAGGTAGAGAAGCTGCCCTGGCTGGCTGCAGGGGGTGGGAGGGGTGGAGGTAGGATATGGGGCAGGGAGACGAGAAGAGCCCTGAAAACCTTTTCCCTTTAACCTGACATATTTATATATTTACAATTATAAGGGAGGAAAGGAAATTTGGAGTAATAGTTCTTCAAAGGCAGGGAATGAAAGCCAAATAGCACCCCCATCTTGGGTCTTGGTCATATTTTCCTGCCTCCCAGCTCCAAAAACCTTCAGTAGGAAAAGGGGAAACAGGAGGTAGGGGGTGGAGGAAGGGGCTGTTTGAGGGTCCTGAGCCTACAGCTCACTCCAAAAGAAGGTGAGACAGCAGAGGAGGGACAGCCGAGTCCCACCAAGAAAAGGGCCACGTGTGCCCTGCCTCTTCACCAGCTCCCCACATCTCCATGCGGCCTGGGTGGGGCTATGCCAGACCCATCTCCTCCAACACACTGCGCGGCGACTCATCCTCCTGAGGCAGAGACAGCAGAGGGCGACGCAGAGACAGCAGGAGAGGCCGGCAGGGAATGGGGGAGGTGGGGGGCAAGACAACAGCGTCACAAGGATGGAGGCAGAGTGGAGGAAGCACACAGAGAAACGGGGAAGGGGGGAGAGAGAGAAGCCAATGTGAGCTCAAGGCAGAACAGCTGGGGACCCTTCAGGGGAGTTTCCCAGCCCCCTAGGACTACCTCCCAGAGCCAACTGTGGCAAGGAGGGGGTCCAGGTTGAGTCCACCCCTCCCCCCCAGAGAACCAAGGACCAGGTTGATGAGCAGGGGGCCCAGCTTTGTATCTGAGTGAAAGGGAGTGAAGCTGCGACTCGAGGATGGGAAACTTTTCTGAGGGCTGTGGGGGTGGCAAATGGTTAGGTCCTTCTTTTCAGCGTTGTGGGGGAGTAAGAGGTTGGCATCAGGTCTCTGAGGTAAGGTGAACTAGACCGCAGAGAGATGAGTCATTGGGGTCTGAGCAGAGCACTAGTAACAGGAGTGTATGTGCCAGGGGATGTGTGTGCTAGTGTGTGTGTGTGTGTGTGTGTGTGTGTGTGTGTGTGTGTGTGTGTATGAAAGGGAACCTGTACCAGTAAGGTGGCAGGTTCAATTCTGCTCTTTCTCCTATTGCAGAGATGAGCCCCCTATCGCACCCCTTCCTCATAGCCAGCTCATGCCAGCTTGTTTGTCACTGCAGATTCCGGTGACTCATCTTCCTGCACCAAGTCTCAGCAGTGGCACAGCAGAGAGGGGGCAAGCAGTAATGGGGTGAGGGCAGGGACACCAGATAGCAGGGTGAAACAACAGCTAGGTGACCTGTACACCAACAGTTTTTTGCTTCTGAAAATCAGAGGCTCATTTTGAGTTGTGTGTGTAAAAAAAGGTGGGTGGGGGGAGACACCATGGAAGAAAAGCATTATCTACCATTTGCTCTTTCTCCAATTCTCTGAGCAACCCTTATATGCCAAGAGAAGCAAGGGACAAAGGAGATTTGCCTGCGGTGAGACACCCTGGGTCTTTCCGGAAGGAGAGAATTGGCACAGGTGTCTGCCACCCCCACCTCCCACCACAAGCAACCAGGGCTTGAGGGTAAGCTGGCCAAACAGGTGCGGGGGGCCAGACACCACAGGGAGGGGGGCCCTTTGGTGGTAGTGGGAAGGGGGCAGATGTGGCAGGCGGGCGGGGTGTCCAGGGGAGGGAGGGCAACTTCTACCGTGATACTCTTCCTCCTCTTCACTGTCCCAGGCCCATACCTCCTGCAGCAGGTCAGCCTGCTCAATAGCCTTTAGCACACTCTTCTTGGAGGTGTCCTGGACATCACCCCCCATCAAGAACTCATCCAAGATGAAGTAAGCCTTCTCAAAATTAAAGATGATGTCCAGCTCGCACACCTGAGAAGAGGGGGGAAAGGCAGAGTAGAGTAATGAAGTGCATTCCCACCCCACAAGCCCCACCTCGGTTCTCAATATGTCTCCTCATCTTCTTCATGACTACCCTCCAACCTTAGGTTCCTGCCCCAGGTCTACGTCCTCCTGACCCCTAGGTCTTAGTAAGTACTTGGATCAGGTTTTCCTTCTTCTCTTGCCTCTTTCTCCCTGATCATAAAGTATTAGTTGCTCTTGACCGTGGCTTTTGTTGCGTTGACCCCAGAGTCTGTGACATTGTTCCCAGCACTGGGCTAGCCTCCTTCCCTAAATTCTGTGGGGCAGGGAAGGAGTCGTCAATATCAGGAACTGCTGATAAAATCGGAATATGACTTTTGTCCTTTTGTGAGAAGTCTGAGCTGAGCTCTCGATGGATTGATTAAGAGGCAGATTCTGGTCTCTACCCCCTCCCCCAGACTGATTAAGGGGCATGGCTAAAGAGGGAGCTTATTTACCATTCTCACTGCTCCCACTTCACCTCTCCCAAGCATTCCAACGCAGATTCCAAGGACCCCAGAGTTCGGAGGGAAGAGGGGATTGCTGAGTATGGAAACAGGGAGGGTGACTTACGCTGCCAAAGTATTTGTCCAGGAGCTCCACATATCGGTGGATCAGTTCCAGGGTGATGAGCTCATTGTCTTGGCCCTCGATGGCGCAGCAGAAGTAGAGGCTGGCATATCTGAGGAGAGGGGCACATGAGAGATAGCTGAAAGGGCTATTGCCTGCTCCAGGACTCTGGGCTCAAACCTCTCATTTCTCCTTATTCCCAGCCCAGGGTCTGTGTGGCTTCGGGACAAAGGTGGGGTGGCCCCAGGGCATATAGTTACTCGCTCAGCCTCTTAATGCCTCTCCCAAACAGGCAACAACCAAACTCTTTCCTCCTCTTGCTCTCTGACCTGCTCAGTGTGACTCAGCAAAACCGTGAGCCAAATAATTTCACCTCCTCAGAGAAGGAACTAGAAATGGTGGTTATACTCTGGTTTCTCTTCAGATCGCATAAATCTTTCGCCTTTTAGAAATGGTGGTGTGTGTGTGTGTGTGTGTGTTGGGAAAGGTGGCACAGGATTTACCATTTATGACTGAGACAGCAAGGGACATGTGTAATGGACAAGATAGGGCCCTTGGGACAGAAGTATGTGTGTGAAGTAGGTGTGAGACTAGAGCAAAACTAAGTGGGGAACAAGAATTTCTTCAAGGTGAATGTAGAAAGGAAAGAAAGCTGTTTATCACTGCCCTCGAGACGTCCTTAGTCCCCAGTTCTCTCTGACCCAGGGACTGCTTATTCCTCAGCCATTTAAACCCACTGCCAAGCCCCAACCACGCAGAACTCAGGCAAGTCTGAAAGTAGGTGGGGAGTCACCTCTTATAGACAACTTTGAGGTCTCTCCACTCCAGGAAACTGCACATTTTGGGCTTGCGAGCCAGAACAACCTGCATGAGCTCCCGAACCATCTTCTTTCTCTCCTTGTCTGATGTGGCCAGGTACCATTTTTGCAGTCTCAGCTTTCCCTGCCGGCTGAACAGCAGCATGAATCGCATCTGGGGAAAAGGCAGCAGGTAGGGATGGGGGAATGAGAGGCAGAGCTGAGGGTCAGAGATTTGGTTCTCTGAGTTTCTTTCCTCCACAAACATACAGCCCCAAACTCATCTAACTCTTCTCCACTCACAGTTTCTACTTTCTTCAAATA